GGAGGAAGCCTGGCATTTAAAAAGTAATTGTCAAGTGCATTCGTAATGTTTTATTTCTTAGATGAGCGTTCATTATGTTATTTTCTCTTGGGGATTATCTTTAGTTGCATTATTTTTACACTTTTTGAATGTCTGACATAATCCCTTAAACAACAGCAGGCAATTATTAGTCAAGGGTGATAAGTTAGATTTTGAAGGAAGCACATAGGCATGTGGAAGTAGAGTTTGCCTGGTCTCCGGGGAGAGCGAAGAGCTGAGATTTCCAGGAAAAAGCGAGGAGCATCTTGCAGCCAGAGGTAGTCACTTATGCTAAGCCCAGAAGCCTAGCATGTTCAAGGGTCTGGCAATATGGTGTGACTGCAGTGAGGGAAGGCAGGTGGGGCGTGCCAACTCCCCCGTCTGCCCCACATCTTAGTCTCTGGGGACCCCCGCTGGAATCGCTGTCAATACCACAGGGCCTCCCTGTGCCCTCTGGACTGGGTGCTTTGTATGGCCCAGCTGCCAGGTGCTGCTGCAGGTGGATAAGGGCCTGTGTGCATTGTGGGTGCAACCTGGGCCCTGGCCCCGGAGTGCTTGCTCAGCCTGTGGTCTCCTACACCCACCCTGCCACTCAAGTTCTTCCCTCAGACCTTAAGCCTTAAGCTGGCTGCAGGGCCTGGCTGGGGGAAGCCAGTGTGCACCCCTGTGTGAACCCCTTGGTAGACCCTGGATCCCTTCTTGTGGACCGGGCTGGGTCCTAGCTGTCTGGATGGTTGGGGATCCGCTCTTTGTCTTCTTACTTGTATCTGAGTCTAGGCCCCATTGGGTTGGGTGGCCAGAGCCGTGGCTAGACACTGGCTTTCTGGTTAGGTGGCATTCTGAACCCTTGGATCATACCTGGAGCTTTGAGATTTTGCTGTTTGTCTCTGGCCAGGCCTTTATAGAAGGAGCCTTCCATCACTGATACAGAGAGATGGGGTGTCACCAGAGAAGGGCCACTCCTTCTGTGGGGGGCCCCCTCCCACCTGACAGCATTGTCCCGCCCCCCGGATGTACCATGAGATATCAGGCTCTTTGCTCAGATGGCCTCTGTTGGGGATGGAGCAGAGGGAGAGCGAAGCCTTGGGCCATGCTAGGCTTCAGGACACTTTGCCTTCTTTCTTGCTGCTCTAGCCAGCCTTTCAGGCTGATGGATGGTGAGGCGGGGCTCCTGGCTGCTGGCGGGCTGGCTAGCTCTCCTTTAGTGGGGGTGCCTGTGACCCCTCCTTTTTCCTGGACTGGGAAGAGTTGTAGGGGAGACCAGCCAGGGTTGGTGTCAGGTCACTGGCTTACAGTAGGCCCAGGAAATGTGGAGAAGATTGGAGGGTGCTTGGTGCTGGTTTCCTCTCCAGCGTGTGTGTGGGGTTTTGGCAGTGAGGCTGTAAACGTCACTGCTGCCCTTGATCTGGGCACCCTGTAACGGGACGATGGCGGTGCACTCCCACACAGCCTGGGAGCACTTCAGCCCAGGCGTCAGAACCCCTTCCCAGCTCCTTTGGCCTCCTTCCTCCTTCCCGCCACAGGGCTGTGGGGCCTGCGGGCACTGGGGCAGGTCTGGGGACGGGCTGCGGGTTGTTTCGGAGAGGATAGCGAGAAAGATGGATTTGGTGAGTGTCCGAGGCTACGTTTGAAGGGGCAGTTGGGGGTAGAAGTGTTGGGCCACCTGGATGGCACTTGTGCAGGGGGTGGCAGAAGGCACAGGAGTGGGTAGGGAGCTCCCATAGGGGTCCTCAGGAGCCACGCCCAGCTGGGAGGATCACCCTCCTGCTTGGGGCACATAATCCCTGTGGTTCTGGGAGCCTTGCCCTGAGCACGAGGGCCTGACTCCTGACGACCTTCTCCAGCCCTGCTGAGCACCAGGAGTGGTCCCTGGATGCAGAAAGGATACTGCAGGATCCTTGCTTTTCATCCAGCCTGGGTAGGGGGTATGGGGAACACACCAGCAGCGTCTTCCTGGGGGACCGTGGCAGGCATGGGTTGAGACGCAGACAGCAGCAGCCGGGACCCTAGAGGCCTGTATCAGAATCATGAGACAGACAGGTGATCAAAAATGTAGATTCTGCCCCCATTCCAATTGGATGGGTCTGGGCTGGACCCCTAACCCCTCTGCACACAGTGCTTCTGATGTGCACTGCGGTTTTGAGGGTCCCCCCATTAATTGCTGCTGCAGGAAAGCAGCCCGCCACTCAGGAGCCTTAGGCATTGGTGGAGCCCCTTCATCTGGCCATCAGTCTGGCTGTCTGTTTCTTCATCCTTCTGTAGTGTTAGGTTTGCTGCTTCCTCCTCTTGAGTGGGCCTAGGGGCAGTTACAGTGGGAAATTGCGACAGAGGCTGGTGCTGGCTAGCACACAGTAAGCTAAGAGGTGTCAGAGGGTGGGTAGCATGGGCCTGGCACCCACCGCCAGCCTCCCTCCGGGTGGCCTGGGTCCAGGACAGGGCAGGGGTGGGTGGAGCGCTTAGCATGCCTCTCACCTCCGGGGTGGGACACAGGTTCCGGGCGTGGGGAGGCCGAAACGCGGGAGTGCATCTACTACAACGCCAACTGGGAGCTGGAGCGCACCAACCAGAGCGGCCTGGAGCGCTGCGAGGGCGAGCAGGACAAGCGGCTGCACTGCTATGCGTCCTGGCGCAACAGCTCCGGCACCATCGAGCTGGTCAAGAAGGGCTGCTGGCTGGACGACTTCAACTGCTACGACAGGTACACTGGCGCCCGCCTTCCCCTCCCTCCCTCACGGCCGCCCTCCTCTCAGTGCCATGGGCACCGGCCAGGCCGCACAGGTCTGAGGGGGCCTTTCAAACTGAGCCTGACATGTAAGGGCGGGAGGGGAAACTTGGACAAGTGCGGGGTCCAGCCCTGCGGGAACTGGGTTTGCTCTGCCCCTGCCCCTGTCCTGAGGAGGCTCTGAGTGAGTGTCGGCCCCGCCTGCCCCTCCCGACTTTGGCGGGTTCACTTGTCCCCGGGTCATTCCCCAGGAGGCTGTCTGTCTGTGGGGAAGGGTTTGGCAGGGCGGGCCCTGGAGTCTTGTGTGCCTCAGCTGGGGGGCGTGTGGAAAACTGTGTGCCTCCAGGCAGGAGTGTGTGGCCACCGAGGAGAACCCCCAGGTCTACTTCTGCTGCTGCGAAGGCAACTTCTGCAACGAGCGCTTCACCCACCTGCCGGAGGCTGGGGGACCGGAAGGTGAGGCTGGGGGAGGAGCGGGCTTGGGCCCCAGCGCTCAGCTCCCGAGTTGGGTGGGAAGTGGCCGCAGGGCTCTCTAGCCCAGGAAGTGCGGGGGCGGGCGGGCTGTGTGACACAGGGCTCCGTGTGTCCCCCAGTCACGTACGAGCCACCCCCGACAGCCCCCACCCTGCTTACGGTGCTGGCCTACTCGCTGCTGCCCATCGGGGGCCTCTCCCTCATCGTCCTGCTGGCTTTCTGGATGTACCGGCATCGGAAAGCCCCCTACGGCCACGTGGACATCCATGAGGTGAGGCAGCTGGCTCAGGGCGGGGTAGGGGTAGGGGTAGAGGTGGCAGCCAGGCCAGGACAGACCCTATGAAGCCCTGGTCTCCCCCAGGACCCTGGGCCTCCGCCCCCGTCCCCTCTGGTGGGCCTGAAGCCACTGCAGTTGCTGGAGATCAAGGCTCGGGGGCGCTTTGGCTGTGTCTGGAAGGCGCAGCTCATGAACGACTTTGTGGCTGTCAAGATCTTCCCACTCCAGGTGAGCGAGTGAGGGGCTCCAGCTCACCCACCCCTGCTGCGGCCTGAGCGCTCCCGCCCCAGGGCAGTGCAGGCCCGTATAGGCGGGATGAGAGAGACGTGGGCCCCACTGGGGTGGGGAAGGTCATCGTAGGGCTAGGGCAGGGCTTTGCAAAACCTTGATCCCCTCTGGTTTTCAGGGTTTTGCTTTTGACATGAGGTCTGGTCAGATGCCCGGGACCTCAGACTACCCTGAGCAGCTGCCCAGGACCTTTAGCAGAGACAGGCCCAGCTCTGTCTCTCATTTGTTGGGTGACACCAGGCCACTCGCTCCCCTCTCTGGACCTCAGTGGGCCTGTCTGTACATCAGGCGCTGGCCTTAGGAGATGTCGGGGGCCACCGTTGGCCTGTGCTCCAGGGCCCGCTCAGTCCAGGTCTTCTGCCTGCCTCTATATAGGCTGAGGCTGGGGTCAAGGGGTGTGTGTGTGTGTGTGGGGGCAGTGGGAATGGGGTGAAGGGGGTGGTTCTGCTTAGAGTGGTGGCGCTACAGTGTGGGCTTTGGCCGCATCTCTGCCTCAGGACAAGCAGTCGTGGCAGAGTGAGCGGGAGATCTTCAGCACGCCCGGCATGAAGCACGAGAACCTGCTGCAGTTCATCGCCGCCGAGAAGCGAGGCTCCAACCTCGAGGTGGAGCTGTGGCTCATCACGGCCTTCCATGACAAGGTGAGCCGCACCCTGGGAATGGGTGCCCAGCGTGAGGTGGCATGACCACGGTCCCCACGGTGACTTTCCACATAAGGTGACCCAGCCGTAGGTGTGGCTATGGTCTACAGTGAGAGCCCCTAACCCTGGGAGAGACTCTCAGGAATAAGAACAGTGACCTCATCATTAGCACCACTGACCACCCCACACCCCACCCCCAATACCTCCTGGCTTCATATACCTCCATATCAATTCCAGCCTCCCAGGAAAGGAGCCCCGCCATCCCGGGGCTGGGAGACCCGCTGGCCTGGTCCTGTCCTGTCCCCAAGTTCTGTGCTGTCTCCTCTAGGGCTCCCTCACGGATTACCTCAAGGGGAACATCATCACGTGGAACGAACTGTGTCATGTGGCAGAGACAATGTCAAGAGGCCTCTCCTACCTGCATGAGGACGTGCCCTGGTGCCGTGGTGAGGGCCACAAGCCGTCTATCGCCCACAGGTACCTGGGTTAGCCGTTGTCTCCCTGTGCTCCGCTAGCAGCTGCGGACGAGGTTGGAGGGCAAGAACAGGGCCTGGGGAGGGGCGGGTGTCTCAGGTCCATGCCTAGCCACTCTGTGCTGTCAGGAGTGGCTGCGCATGAACGTGGGCCCACCTGCGGCTGCCCTTCCCTGCCTCCCACCTGTGTTCTGGGCAAGGCGTGGCCTCCCAAGCCGGTTTTCTGGTGCCCTCCAGTGGCCACGTGAGGAAGTGCTGACTCCATTACTTTGGAGAGTTGGCCCAGCAGTTCTCAAACTTTTTGGTTTGGACCCCTTTCCACTCTTAAAAAGAACTTTTGTGTATATGGGTTCTGTCTGTTGATACTTGCTGTATTAGAGCACACACATCCCATTAGCTGTCAGAGTGATGACATCACATGTATGTAGTTTCCACACTCGATACTCTTGAGAGAATGAGCTTAAAAAAAGGCAAATAATGGATTATTATGAAAATAATTTTTTTTTTAAAGATTTTTTTATTGAGAAATTGGGGGAGGGGAACAGTGTTAGGGAATTGGGGAAGGGGACCAGCCAAGTTGTTGTTCTTCAGTCTTCGTGTGGAGGGCGCCAGTCGCCATCTGGCTTCCCGTCGGCAGCTCATGGCCTCTAAACTCAAGGTGCTGTGTTCAGTCTTGGTTGTGGGTGGACGTAGCCACCATCCCATGTGGGAGTCGAACCAGCAGCCTTGTTAAGAGCGCGTGCTCTGTCCACTGAGCCATCCGGGCAGCAGCTCAGCTCAAGATGCCAAGTTCAGTCTTAGTTGCGGGTGGGCGTAGCCCACCGTCGAACAGGCATTCTTGTTGTTAGGAGCATGTGCTCTCACCAGCTGAGCCATCCTGCCACCTTTTGGCAGCTCGGCGGCAGCTCAGCTTGGGTGCAGCGTCACTGGCCCATGTGGGAATCGAACCAGCAGCCCTGTTGCTCAGAGCTTGCGCTTTTAAGCCAACTCTTAACCAACTGAGCCACTTGGCTGGCTCTGAAAATAATTTTGACCTTGCAGATCTCCTGAAACAGTCTCAGGGACCGTCTGGGGTCCCTGGAGTATACTCTGAGAGCCACCGTGTCAACTGCTCATCTTAGTGCTTTCTGAATGGCAGGCAGTGCTCTCAATACTTGGAAATAGCGGCTCATTTCATCTTCACTACCGCCCTATGAGACGGTACTGTTTTTCTCAGGCCTGCCTTACAGATCAAGGAACAGGAGTGCAGAGAAGTTGAGCAACTTAGCCATACCTAGTTGAGTGTGGTTCTGTGGCTATGAGGGAGCGGAATAAGCCTCGAATTCCGGGGTTTAAAGCTAAAGGTCCCCTAATGGTACTAACATTAATGTCATGTAAGGTTGACTGTATTAAATGACCACTTTTATAGGTCAGAATGGTTGTTTGTGGACTCTTCCATATGGTTCAAGCTCACAGTGGTGCATAGTGAGTGTGCCGGGGTGGCCCCAAGCTTGTGGACTTACTACTCTCTCAGTTTAAGCCTCACTACAAGGCTGAGACAGGCACTGGGGAGACTGAGGACCAAAAGTAACTCGGCTAGTAAGAGGTGGAGCTGAGTGCACACGCCTGCACCCCTCTGTCCCCCAGCCTTTGTGGTGGGCTCGAGCCCCTCAGTGCCTGCACAGAAACCCAGGCAAGTTTGTTTAAACTTCTGTGCTCATGCACGTCCCAAATATTATAAATCTTTCTGAGAAAAGCCGCCTCCCAGGCCAGTATGCTTGCCTTCAAACCCTCTGAGAATGCAGGGGCTGCCTTTGATATGGTGGGGACTAGGGTGGAGTTTGCCCAGCCAACTGGGGTCCACCCTGGTGCAGACCCTGCTCCCCAGATAAGGTAGGAAGGCCTGCTTTGGGGTTGTAGGGCATTGGCTTCAGTATCTTGGGAGCAAAGCTAGGAAGCCAGGAGCAGGTAGGTTGGACCCTGATGTCCATCTTTATCTCGGTCCCCTTGTCTCCACAGGGACTTTAAAAGCAAGAATGTGTTGCTGAAGAGCGACCTCACAGCCGTGCTGGCTGACTTTGGCCTGGCTGTTCGGTTTGAGCCAGGAAAACCTCCAGGGGACACCCATGGACAGGTAATGAGCCTCGGGGGGTGCAAGAGAGCCCACGGGTGGAAACTGCCCTTCTGATGCTCAGCTGGCAAGGGGCAGGGGCAGGGGTCACCTCGTGAGCTCAAAGCTGCCTGAGAACTCTGAGAACAGTGCTCTTGTTCACCAGTGGGGACAGCAAGGCCTGCAGGGCAGCGAGTGTCCCAGGATGTGCAGCTGAGAAACACGGAGTCCTGGCTGGGGCTTTGGCCACTCATCCTTATAGGCTTTCTCTCTTGTCTCTTTTTCTTTTCACTTACAACTATTAAGCAAGTTAAAACAGTCACTGTTAATACTAAGTATTCTCCTCCTCTTTCTTCTTTTGGTCTTAATCTCAGTAAAATACACACCATCTGTGTAGCTCTTTGTGGTGTTGATGGCGCAAAGAGGCAGCAGTTTCATGTTAGATTACTGCTGTCTCGAGTGCGTGATAGTTTTAAATTATCACTGAGGTTCAGTTTACACCGTGACCTCTCATGACCCTCCCATGAATGTGGCGAATCCAGGATTGCCATCATCGTTGGCGTCCTGCTCTTGAGTTCTGCCTTCCAGGGCCCTGTCTGGTGCATGCAGGACGTCATTTCCTGTCTACCTGTGTCCAGTATCTGTGCATGGTTGGTGACTGTAGGCCCTCTCCGTCCTGTGTAGGTGGGCACACGGCGGTACATGGCCCCCGAGGTGCTCGAGGGAGCCATCAACTTCCAGAGAGACGCCTTCCTGCGCATCGACATGTATGCCATGGGGCTGGTGCTGTGGGAGCTTGTCTCCCGCTGCACGGCCGCGGATGGTGAGTGGGCCGGGGCCCCGAGTATCCTGGGTGCGGGTGGGGAGCAGCGGGTCCTGGAGGTGACTGCGCTGGGCTCTCTCTCACCCCAGGACCGGTGGACGAGTACATGCTGCCTTTTGAAGAAGAGATCGGTCAGCACCCGTCGCTGGAGGAATTGCAGGAGGTGGTTGTGCATAAGAAGATGCGGCCCGCCATTAAGGATCACTGGCTGAAGCACCCGGTGAGGGTCCTGGGCGGCAGGTGGGGCCTGAGTGCTCCGTCAGAGCCCAGGTTGCCCCTGGGTGGGTCACTTATGCAGTGGAGTCCACTGGCCTTTAGTCTGAGCCATCTGGGTTTGAATGCTGGATCTGCCAATTAATAGCTGGGTAACTTCGGGCGAATTGCTTTATTTCTCTGGGCCTCTGTCTCCTCAGGATAGTATAGTATAGATTTAATGAATTATCATTTTAATTTGCTTGGCAGGACACGTATCACGTAAATGCTTACTATGCATTAGTTCTGATTAAATATTCTCTGTTCTCTGCCTTTATCATTTTCTGGGCATGGGCTCAGCCACATGGCATCTGGGCTCCTCTAAAACAGGGATACTGTACAAAATACCCCAGCCATGTAAACCATTTCCTGTCTTGGAAGGATGTTTGCCCTCAGCTCCATTGAGTCCCTCTTCCTGCCCACCCCAGGGTTAACGCAGAAAAAAGGACAGTCTTGGGGCCACTGGGGGCTAGCACTCCACCATACATATCATCAAGGGTCAAGGTGTTGAGGCCAAGTTCATCTACCACTCTGCTCTTTGGAACCCGGGGCTGTAAGTGGAGAAGACTGAGGCGTGGAGAGAGCTAGGCTGGGCCCAAATCTGTACCTTTTGTCTCAGACTTTCTCAGTCTCCAAAGCAGAGATGCCAGGGTAGCCAGTCCAGTTCCCTGATGAGGCGCCCAAGGTGGCCTTGTACTGAGCAGGCCAGAGAGTTCCTGGATGAGGACATTTTACTCGTTCTTTTGTCTTTCCCAGCTCTATACAGTTGGTTCCAGCATAGGATGTCACACCATGTTCCCTGGACCTCAGGGAAGTGCCCCAGGGGTGTGGGAGTAGGGTGGGACAATGCCCTCCTCTGGTCCCCACTGTGACCGCCACATGTTGGGCCCGTACTTGATTTGGGCTTCACGTAAGATTTTGTTTGAATATCACCGTGTCTGCCCCAGCAGCGGCCTGGTCTCCCCACCTCTATGTTGTGGTTCAGTGGTCCTTCTGTTGGGGCTGTGGAGGGAGGCCAGTGGGCTTGGGATGGTGACTGCCAGGAGGGGGGCATCTGGATTCCTGCATTTTCCCCCAGGCCCTTGCTAACTGACTGCTGCTGAGGTTGGGACCAGTGGGCTTTGCGTGGTTCTCGGGAACATCATCGAGTTTGCTGTCCCCCGGGACAGCAAAGAGGGGCACTTACAGGGGTGTCTTTTTCCTCTCCCCTGTCATTGTGCAGGGCCTGGCCCAGCTCTGTGTGACCATTGAGGAGTGCTGGGACCACGACGCGGAGGCTCGCCTGTCTGCGGGCTGTGTGGAGGAGCGGGTGTCCCTGATCCGGAGGTCGGTCAACGGCACTACCTCGGACTGTCTTGTCTCCTTGGTGACCTCTGTCACCAATGTGGACCTGCCCCCTAAAGAGTCAAGCATCTAAGCCCAGGACACGAGTGGATCTCCAGACTCAGTGGATCTGAAGAGGAAAAGGAAAAAAAAAAAAAAGTTGTGTTTTGTTTTGGAAATCCCATAACACCACCAACAAACACATAAAATGCAGCTGCTATTTTACCTTGACTTTTTATTATTATTATAATTATTATAATTATTATTATTAATATTATTTTTTGGATTGGATCAGTTTTACCAGCACATCGCTCTACTGTATCGCAAACAGCGGACGCGTCAGCAGGCGTTGAGGTGCTGAGCTGTGAACGCAGAACCAGCGCCTGCTCAAGAGCCCCGCCACCTCCTGTCCTTTGGGGGTTCATTGTTCCCGCTTTCTCTTTGTTTGTCGTCTCAGAATCTGTGACACAAAGAAACCCATCTCCTGTCTTAGGAAACTTAATGCTGCAAACTCTTCCTAGAGGAACCTTTGAAGACTGTTACATAAGAACATACCTTCCTCAAAAGAGGAGTTTCCCTCTGCCCTCGTCCTCCTTCCACCCTCCCTTTTATTGTGTTTTGTTTTTTTTCTCCCTTTTGAGACAGTGAGTTTAAGGAACAGCAGATGTGTCTTTCATGGATTAACGGGTGTTGTCCTGACCGAGGAAAAACTGGCATGAGGACAAGGATGGTTTGGACTGGAGTTGGAAGGGGAGGACGGAGCTGGGGGTAGGGTCTGGAGCAGAGCTACACTGGACTCGGGCAGTCGGAGCAACATCCTTTGCTATGAGGCTACTTCTCAGGTAACCAGGAATTGAGGGGAAGGACCGAGTGGAGGCTGAGCATTAACGGCAAGCGTGGGGTTTGGAGAAAGCCCCAAAGCAGGTGTGGCTGTGACCCATCTGCTGGCCCTGACCAGTTTTTTTCCACTAACTTGGGCTTGGGCATAGGACAAAACGTTTTTTTTTCTGCCCTATTTTAAGGTTAGGTAAGGTAGAAATCACGGTTTAGTGAGTACATTCTTCGTAAAACATGATGCTGTAAATATCTTTAATGGGGGAGAGGTTGAAATACATTGCTTCCTCCTGGAGCAGTTCAGGGAAATGCCCACAGGGGGCGCCCTGCAGAGCCAGGGCACGAGGATTTCCTGTGTGGGCCCTACTGAGGCCTGCCTCTCTGGAGACCCTGAGAGTCCTGCAGCGCCGGCTCTGCCCCATGTGGTGACATTACTGTCCCCTTTTTGTGGCTCATGGACACGGCTTTCTCCGGACCCCTTAAAGTGGTGCATATTCTAAAAACCCTTTCTCTGTTATGCCATAACCTTGCTCTAGTCAGTGAATGTTCTTAATGCTGCTGTTTCAACATTTGAATTTTTTTTAATTTATGAAACATGCAAAATTTTTAAAAAACAAAATGTACACACATCCACACGTACACACACGCTTTGCTATGTGGCTTCCAAGGTTTAAATTTTGAAAAGTAAAAGAATTAAAACTTCACGACCACAGACCACCTCAAACCAGAAATACCTCAGAATTTTCTACTTGTGTAAGTTTTATTATATATTTTATTAGTTGTGTTGTCTTGTAATAAGTATATTTTAATGTAAGTTGGCTTTTATGACAAGAAAGTTTAAAAGAAATAGAGAAAAAGAAAAAAAGTTTGAGTCTTCTAGGTAGTGCTACCATTTTTGTTTGATAACGCCCCCTTGTAAATAAATAATCGTCATCAACTGTAGGTTGGCTGTCTGGGCCAAGTCTGGGCATTCATCACTCTTGTTTGTGAAGGCTTTTCCTTCTGGTTTCTGTAGACCATTTTATTTTAAAACTGGATCTCTTAATATTGAGGGGAGTCGGTGGGCGATGGGAAGAGGTTGAGAATGGGAGAGGGGCACCTCCTCTTGGGTTAGTTGGAGGTTCAGATGTTTCCCTCAACCTGATGGGTTGATGTTCAGAATGACAGGTAACCCCACTTTAACTTGGTAAAACTGTGGCCCTTTGAGACCTGCGTGAGGTAATTTTACTTGAGATTTAATTTCTTAAGGAAGTTAGCAGCAGTGATAGCAGAAGAGACCCTTGGTGTCTCTGAACCCACACTGAGGCTCGGGAGGCAGTCTGTGCTGGAGGGGCATGTCTGGAGTGGAGCGTTCTCCCCCTGCTGCCCTGGAGCTGGCAGCCTGAGAGGGCGCTGCACACACCCGTGGGCCATCTGCCTCCCACTCAGCCTGCTGTGGGCAGCGTCTGGGGCCTGCCTCTTGTGTGTGTCCTTTTCTCTGCGTGTTTGCGCACAGGGTGCTGTGGGAGGTGAGGTTGCTTCCCTCTCCGAGCTCAGTTTTTGCTTCGTGGGTCAAAATGTGAGCTGGCCAAGGTGGTTACAGGGACAGGTTTTTTGTTTGTTTTTTTTTGGTTGGTTTTTTGGTAAGCTATGTTGTCGTTTACTTTTTTAAAAACAAACAATTTCGTGCTGTGGTATTTTCTTCCCTTGAAATAATTTTTAACAGCAAAACAGGCCTTACAGCAGTTGCTTTTCTTTTCCACTTATTTCTTTAAGAAGCTTTAAAATATTTATTGAGAAGTGCCATATCTAATTTCTTTAGCTTTCTCCTCAGGCAGTGCTGGGCATCTCTACTTTTCACCCTCAGAAGAAACAAACCACTAACAAATGTATTGGGTTGTCGGAAAAGTCATGACGTATTTTTTCTATGTTTTTCATTGCAAAAATGCGTCATGACTTGTCCGACAACCCAATAGCTAATTGACTACAGGAATGATGGGATCACTGGTCCTACTGTGTGTGGAATACTAAGCCCCCGCCTCTCCATGTGGTTTTAGATTTCCTCTGGGTGATTTTCCTTCTGTGTGCTAGTTGCCTCTTGTGAGAACAAGCTTTGACCTGGCTGTGGAGGGTTGAGCTGTGGCCTTGCCACGGGCACCTGCTGGTCAGGACGCAGTACAGACACGCGGGCCTTCCTGGCGGCCTGCATGCCTTTTATCTGAGTGGGCTCCCTGTGCTGACCCTGTGCTCAGCTCCTGTGGCATCTCTTTGGGGCCTTGGCCCCAGAGTGAAGTGTCAGGAGATGGTACCTGTTTGGTGTGGTCGGGGAGAGGGCAGAATCCAGGGGGGTCTTTGCCAGTTTTTTGGACTGCAGCCTGCCTTTTCCCCTCATGCTCTGTAAAAGGCCCCTTTCAGGCAGCATTCCTGATGACTGCTGCTGGCCAGAAGAAGGCGGCTGACCTCTTTCCAGGGCATGCCACTGGGAGCCTCAGATAAGGTGTTTGTCTCTTTGTTGTCATGTATTCTTTGGGAAGTGAACCGTCTAGAACCCTGATTTGTGTTTATAGGTCCTCTGCCTGTGCTCTTCTCCACAAAGATTTCATGTGACATTCACTACTGGGCAGCTCAGATAACTACGGCTTTTTTTTTTTTCTTCTTTCCCCAAGCTCTGTGGGAGACTGGTGGGAATGGAGTCTGGCATCATTTTCCCTGCCCATGGGAGAGGCTGTCCCATCTACGGTGGGAGGGCAGCCAAGTCGGGAAGAGAAGTGGCCAGGCGTCCTCGCTTCTTCCTTTGTCGTGCGCTGTCATCCAAGCAGGCTCCTGGCTGTAGGACAGGATTGGTGGGAGAATGTGCTACATTTAAAAACACCCATGATCACTGTGGGAAGGAAGATATCCCTAGCCAGAGAAATCCAGGAATGAGAAAGAGAAGGAGGAAGCAAGTGGGGACAGAAACCACTGTGTCACAGTGTTCTGCGGAGGACTCTTACTGACTGGGGGGAGGGGGTTCGGGGGGCAGGGAAGGCCATGGACATAGTCATTAGAGCATCCTGGGGCTGGCACGAGCTGGATTTTCTCCTGGGACCATTGGTCCCTATCAGGAGTCCTTCTTTGAGTAAGTTACTCAGGGCAAGATGGACTGTTCTTAGGAGAAAGGGAATCCTGGCTATGAGGGAAGTTGGTGAGCCGTATCAGCCTCTGTTGTTCAGCATGGCCTTCGTGTCCTGTTGGCTCTTGGTAGGTGCCCAGAGGGCTCAGCTCTGCCTGGGGAGGGCTTCCCATGTGTGCCAGCTTCTGACTCTGTCTGGACTTGGCGCATGGGAACACAACAAGGACTTTGTTCAGCCTTGAACATCTTCAGTAGGCTTGAGGGCTCCTACTCATATATTCTCAGCTAAGGGAATGGTCTCTCATCTCCAGGCCACTGAGATAGTTCCTCCATTGCCCCTAGGGGGCAGGCTAACCCTCTTGTCATGGCTTCTTGTATCATGCTTTAGAAAGCAAGACAGGTGATCCTGCAGCTCTGCTCTGCCACCTTTCTCTCCGCTTGGCCACGTTCTTGTACCCTGCCATCCTGCCACTCTGCACTGAGTGGTTGGACTGTGTGTGTGGTGTTTACTTGGTGGTGGTAAGCCCAGCTGTGTATCAGATGTCTACCATATACTGTGTGTGGCTCAGAAAGCCTGTCACGTGGCCCCTACGCTCTGAGCCATGAGGGCAGGGAAGTGGCTGCCCCATCAGGGTGGGAGGACTGGATGGTCCTCTTGCAAATGGAATTTTGCCTCTTTTAAAATGCCATGTAAAATCCCCAGCACCTAATGGTAATATTATAGAAGGGTTTGATTTTTTTTTTCGTAATATAGTAAGCATAAGTATGTAAGTTTTTAGGATTGGTACTGGAAGTCCAGTAGCCAGGCATTATTCCTGAGAACTGGACGCATTAGAGAAATATCTAAGTTGGAAAGCATTTTCCAGAAGTTAACTGAGTTTGATTGTCATTTCCAGCTACTTCAGTAGCCTGTTGGGTTCTTAATGGCTCGTCTTTGGAGAGATGGCCAAGCATGGCTCACATTTCAGGGGCACTGGACCACACCTTCCCAAGAAGCACAGTGAATTTACTCACCTACCCCTCATCCAGGGAACGCGGCCAGAAAGGAAGGGGCACGGTGGCCTTTTCTCCTCATTTGGGTGATATATGTTCTCCTTGGCCAATGGCTGTTTACAAAAGCTGAACTAATACTATACTCAGCAGCTAATGTGTTCAGCCAAGTAACGGTAAAAACTTAGTCTTGATGAACTGTAATGTTTTTGGTAAAGAAACAGGCCCAGTAATTCAGTTGATGTAGTTTTTCTTCTCAGTCTAGATTTGTAAATGTTTGATGAATTCAGGGTCATACGATAGTTTTCGAAGATTCCTGGTAGTTGATTTGTAACCAGCAATCCACCTATGAATGTATCCCAAACCTGTAGAAGGCTTGGCAGAGTTTTTTAAGGTAATTATTTAGTTTTGTAGGTAAAAGAAACTGAAGTTTAAAACACACACACGTGCGCGCACACACACACGGACATTAATTCATTGACTCAGCCACATTTTAGAAACAACTAGTGGGTTTTAGAGACCCATAAACTATCAAATCATCAAATAAAAGTCCAAATTATCTAGGGCTATTTGGGGATTTTCCTGTTTTACACTCATTTTGGGTCTCCTGTTAGCTCTGGTTTGGACAAGATTTTGAATTGAAAGGATTTACCACTATTTACTTTTTTACCAAGCTTTTACATTGTCATGAGGGTATCTTCCAGGTATGAATGAAGCAGGACTTTGTGGTACTCCGTGTATCCCCGTAGTGCCAAAAACCAGTTATACTTTTATTTGCTCCTGTGGCAGCTCGTAGAGATAACACAAGTGGTTTCTCCTCGTGAATTAAAATGCATAATCTATAGATGCCAGTGTGTGGTGACGGCCCTGCACTGCCCTTTTTTCTCCAGGAGCGTCTCTGGTGTGTCTGGGGCCTAGGCAATTCTGAAGAAATATACACATGGACACACGTGTGTTTGCAGCGGAGTATACATACGTGGGCTCTTCTGGACATCTGTGGATAAGCGTCACATTTCATTTTCAAAGTTTACAATTTGAGCTCACAGTTATGAAAAATAGGACCCATTAGCTAATGCTTTTCAGGCAGGTGAGGATGGGTTTTTTTTTGCAAGTGGATGAGTTCCATTTGAGTCCTGCGAATTTCTGCTGTCAGTTGGGCAATCAACTGTCCCAATCACGTTTGCATCGGAATGTTGTTAGCTAGTGTTGTAAATAAAAGAATAGGTTATATACTAGAGATATGACACTTGAAATTTTACTTTAAAAAAAAATCTATAGCTCTACATATATATTTAGTTATATCACCTGACAGGTTCTTCTGCACAGTGTGGAGATTGTTTTATACCACAGATTATTTTTATAAAGCCTAGTGCGTATGAATAAGAATGATTTTTGTAACCAGAGTAATGAGCTTTACCTTTCGAGATAAATGTACACTGGAGTATGAGTGGCACTTAGCGCTCACGTGGATGCTCGTGGTACACTGGCAGATGGGAGTCCAGTTATGGGTCCTGTTTGGCTCAGACTCCGCTGTGGCTGCGGAGGACATTGATGCTTCAGCTCGGCTCCTAGCAGGTGGGGAGGAGGAGGCCTGGGGAGAAAGCATCAGGAGCCTAAGGCGTGTGTCACGTTGGCGCGTGTCACGTTGGCGCTTACTCCTCAGATTTCTTTTGAACAAAGGGTTCAGAGCTTAAAAACTAGTTTGTGAGCTCCTGCCATAGGAGGTAGTAGTGTGAGGTTGTTTTGGGTGATAGAAATTATATGGGGGTACAGATTGGGGCGGGTTGGGACTAGAATAAGAATCAGGCTACGGATTTTTGAAATTTGAAATAAGGATTTGGTGATTTGAGTAATTCACCAAACTGAATTATCTAGGACCAAATTATTCATTTTTTAGGACAGAATTTCCAGTTGAGTAATTATTTGGAAAAGGGGGGAGTGGAGAGGGTGGACATAGTGATCAAACGAAATGGAGAGCTGTCAGGCACATTTTGTCCTCTCTGGTCAGGGCGGTGTGGAGGCGAGAGTAGGTTGGCTCGCTGTTTTAGTCCAATGAGCCAACCAGTGGCCCGTGGAGAAAGCTCAGAAGTCCGTACCAGCAGGGCATCTCTCATGTCTACACAGGTTTCCCATTTTTCCTACCAAGGTCAGCATCACTGCTATAATATGGAAGGCAGTCTTCAAGTTAGCCTTTTTATTTTGGGGTAAAAAGTGGATTTGGGCGAGCCTTTTGGACGGGAATATAGAGGGAGTGAATAACGAACCTAATTCTTTGTGTCTGTAATTGCTAGTTCTGAGGCCCAGCCGAAGCCCTGTCCCCCAGACCCTACCTGCTGGCTTCAGTCGGCCGTGTTCAGAGGTGCAGTGGTAGGGGCTGTTCTGTCAGGAGAATTCCTCATGTGTCACTTTAAACCAGCTGTGCTGCTGATTCAGTCTGGTTTAGAATCAAGTTTTACACTTTGCCCCTTTTATACTTGGAGTAAATTTTGTTTTCGTTTCTGCAGATCAGTAGCACTCTAGGAACCAACCCACCGTTCCTTTCGCTGTTCCCCGTCAAAGAACCTTTCTCTGCTCTCCAGCCCGTCTGAATGTAATTCTGTTGTGCCTTTGTTTTTGTCATCTGCCTCCCCCCAAAAGCAACTGCTGTAAGCTTTTTTCTACTTATCTTTTCTAGCCCCACACTCCACCTTTTTCCTTTTTCCCAGCTGTAATTCCTGGATGCAGGTCTGCGTTCCAGGTGTTTTAAGAACCAGTTACCTCAGACCTCATGTTGAACGGTGTCACCATCTGGGTCCTCAATACTGCAGGCTTGTAACATACACAGGCAGGAACCCTGCCAAGTGTGGGCACTTATTTGTTGTGAAGTAAAACTCTTCCCAAGTACGGAAAGCAGGGGCTTCTGGCAAGCTCTTGGCGGCACTGTGGTGGGATGGGTCTAGAGTGTCATCTGAACGGTGCTTCCAGTGTTCCCCTTTCAATTCTGCCATTTTCAGTATTCTCTTGTCTGAATGGGCAAAGTGATTCAATTGACTGGTCTTGCACACAAATTAGTTCCAAAGATGAGCTCTTTGTAACACATTTCCAGTCACTGAAGCTCAAATGTAGAACATTCCTTTCAATGGCAGGCTTCAAAACCCACCATCCACCACAGTGCATTTTGGGAAGATGTCTGTAGCATAATGTTGCTGTGAAATTAGGCCTTGCGGGATATGGCTGTTTGTCATTTTGATGTATTTTAAATAAATATATATATATATTTTTAAAAGAGTCTTTTTTACCAGTTCAAAAAGTTTAATTAACCAGCAGTCACCACATCTGAATTTCTGTCTCTGGGGCATAGATGGCAGACCAAGATTAAAAGTGGTAACTCAGTCATTCGCATGTGGGCTGCCTGCCTGGGTTGTCCTGCTGACGATGGGACACAAAGGTCATTGTGTTCCCATAGGGTCTGGACTCAGCCCTCCAAGCATTTGGTCTCTGCCCTGTTCGGCGGACTGTTGACTAGTCCCTGCAAGTGCTTTAGCCCAAGTGGGGTTTCCTCAGAGCACTGCCACGACTTACGCGTATGTTTAGCCAAATAATTTCTCCATAAGGGAAAAACACGCTCATCCAGATTTTACCAGCAATGACAGATGAGAGTAGGAAGGATTAGGCAACATCTGGGTTTTGATTTGGAAAGTGTCCGAGTCACTGTCAAATGAGAGCCAGTGATCGTACAGAGATTCCTAGGAGACCTCAATTGAAAGTGTTAAGACCTCCTGTGAGGGGAGGAATTGTTAAAATGCCAGCGGCTTCCCCCCACCCCACCCCCCGTTTTTCTTCTAGAATTCTTTTAAAAAAAAATAATAAAATAAAATGCAAAGAAAATTGAGTGATACTTGAGAATTGAGGGTGAGGGTTACCGCAGATTAGAAACATACTTCTAGATTTCAGTGTCACAGCACAAATCCACACAATGCCATTTTTCAACTGTACAAGAGAATCTGCTTATGAATTTGACATGATCTTAACGGTAGCGTCAAAGGCCGAATTTTTCACCTGTTAATATTTTTCCACATTTGTCCTTGAATCCGAATAACTATACAGTACTGTAAATTCAACTTAGATCGAGTTTGATGTCAATTCTTGTGAAAAGAGCTTCTGCATGTAACAGACACACAAAGAACACAGCAGAGTATAAAATTTGCAGGACCAATTTGGGAACCAACAGAAAATGTCACCTCTCATTTGCCATCTTATATATCAGTTTTACCACCTACTTCTAAATTTGTACATTATTTGTAAGGAAAAGAAGGAAAAATCCTAAAACTGTCTAACTTAGTGGAGAATGTGTGTGTTGGGTTTAGGATGATAGCAAAGTCTTATTGAGCTGTGTTACCTAACTTGTATATAAAAATTGTAATTAAAAGTTTGGATTCACCTGTTTCTTGCAGTTTAAAACAAGTAACTGCAACCTGGAAATGTGACTAGTATATGATTTAAGGCTATAGAAGTGAGGAAGCTCTTCAAGTGCTAAAACTAAAGACTTCTAGTTTTTGGCTCAAATTCAGCAAGTACTGTTTGTATACCAGGATATGTGAGATGTAAATGTAATAGGTCACTTTTCACCCTTGTAGCTATAAAATAAAAATTTTGTAGAACAGAAATAGCTTGTACTACTGAATTAACAAAAGTTATACTAAAGTATCATGTTTTTAAAAATATATATGTATACAGAGTTAAGCTTGTTGCTGTTACCCTGTCTGGATTTGAAAAGTGTGCATATATATATATATATATATATATATATATATATATATATATATATATATATAAAATATACAAGCACACATCTAAAATGGCCTAAAGCAGACATCCATGTAATTACAGTTGCAAAATGAAGACATTTTAGAAAGAACATTGTATCATAGTTCATTCATTTGCAGTGGATCTTTGTTCCTTTTTACTGTGGTAATTTTAGAAATGAGTGTCCAGTTTGAAATTAGATATGCTAAGTTGGGGTTTTGCTGCTTGAACTCTGCACTGGGTCCTCAAATAAACCGATGTGAATGTAGTTTTTTCCCTCTGTGTGAAGAAGCAGCCACACCCCAACAGAATAGGAGGAAAAATCTAGAACTATTTCAAGTTTTATCTTTTTGTATATGAAAATAAAATAATAATAATAATAATAATAAAGCCCTGTTGTCTCTCTTAATCATAAGGTGGGGAGCTGAGGTTTCTTCTCCTGGCAATTAGGAATAAATAAAATGGTGTTCTCCCACTTACAGTGCCGACTCGAGCACCGTGTGAGTTCCTGCTTGGGACACATGAAGTTGTTGAATGTCTAGTCTACCGTGGTTCTGTGGGGCCGGAGCCAAAGCACAGGTCTCCATTTCAGCTCTTTAGAAGCCCAGGGCCCAGTTGGAGACACTGTGGGCTTCTCTTAAATGAACTGCCTTGGGATATGGGGTAAGTTCCTGTAGGGCAGGGGTGTATTTTGCAAATCTCCAAGATCCCACACACACATACCCCCTTAACCCCCAGCCTTATACTTTGTAGACCACCCCAAGCAATATTTTGTAAGTGGAGCAGAGAAGCCTAGAAAATAAGTTCTATTCAGGACTACTGCAGAAGACGAACTGCTATTCCCAAACATGGCTGAGTACCAGGGTCACTTGCTGAGCTATTAAAATATATACTTCTGGGAGGGACACCACCCCAGCTCTGAATCAGCAAGCCAGGTTGCACATTTTGGAGTTCCCTAATCTATCTCTCACTAAATGAAAACATGGTTCCCTGCTAATAAAATAATGGTGGTCTCTACTACCTAACAAAGAAAGCAAGAAAGCCCCAGAAATCACCTCACTGCTTTCTGCAGTAACGTAAAACAATTTTTTGGCCCATGAGTAATGTTTGGTAAGTGGAGAAACACCAGCTTTGAATCTTGGTGAGGTTAATGCCTTTTTATTTACCCTTTATTAATAGGATTGAAACAACTTGCTTGGAACTCTTGGGGAACAATATCTGATAAAGGGGCCCTCTTTTCAGGGAGCAGTTGGAAAGTTCACCTTTTATTAGTACCTCTAATGATGAGCACAGAGGAGAGGAAGGCAAAGGGTTAATTTTTTTTTTTACTAGTTTCAGGTGTATGAAACAATGCACTAGTTATACTTTTTACCCCTCACAAAGAGATAACTCCCCTTCCCCCAATCCACCACCCCACTCCTCCCCCCATACAAAGTGTTAATTTTTGAATGAGGACCTTGGAGTTGGAAATGCTGGAAGTTTGGACCATAGGGGTCATCTGGTCAAACTTTCCCTACAGCAAAGGAATTCTTTCACCAAAAAAGAAATTGGACAAGGAAGCTAGTTTATAAAAGCAGGCTCTGGGGAGGGAGGTTGTCATTTTGAGGAGTCAAAAGTTTAACTATTGCACTGTGTTGTACAGCTGAAACTAATTTTAAAAAGTTTATTTCACAAAAAAAATTAAAGATGCAGGAGAACTGGTTATGAATTGCAGGCTTAACATTAGAAGATACTAGACTTTTATATAATTTATGAAGTGACCCCCCCGTAAGCCTAGTGCCCATCTGACACCATACATGGTTATTACTATACTATTGACTATTCCCAGTACCGTGCTTTACACCCCCATGACTATTTTGTGACTACCAATTTGTACTTCTTAATCCCTTCACCTTTCTCACCCAGCCCCCCAAACCCCTCCCATCTATCAACCATCAGTTTGTTCTCTAAGTTGTACACCTGAAACTAATATAAAATAATATTGGATGTTAACTGTAATTAAAATATATATAGTCACAGGGATATATAAGGAATAGAATCAATAGTATTCTAATAACTATGTACAGTGTGAGATGAGTAATAAGACTTGTTGGGGTGATCACTTTGTGAGGGGTATAAATGTCTAACCACTATGTTGTTTTGTACACCTGAAACTAATAAAAAGAGAAGCGACTTAAGAAAAAAAAAAAAAAAGGCAGGCTCACCCAAGTGAGCGAGTGGAAGAGGACTCACAGGCCATTCAATCTGCCTTCTCTTAAGTCTCAAGTACCCCTGTGGAACACGAGGGGTCCCCTGATGACCGTTTGAAAAATACTGGCACACTCCCTTTGTTATAAAGGTGGGCAGACAGGCCCGGAGGGAGGTACCCTACCTCAAGTCAAGCAGCCCTTCCAAGTCTTGACCTCTTGGGGCCAAGTGTGGGGTTGACTGTACAAGATCTGGATGAGGAAGAGTCACCTGCCCTTTACCTCTCTAGTGGTTAGCACAGTGCGTGGCACTTAGGAGGGCCTCGGAGACATACCTCTTAAGTGACTGTGTATATTTAGTCAATTCTGGTGGAAGCTGCCAAAGGAGCTGTGAAACCTACCAATACCAGTGTTGTCTGGTTGTAGGTGTCAGGGCTCTTGGTTGTAAATGATGGGGGCTGTGGGGTGGGGATGGCGGGTGGTGGGTTACTGGAAGGATCTTGGGGCAAGTAAGTAGCCAGCCCAGCCAAACAAGGATGGGTCTGGACTTGAGCCTTAGAAGCTGGGCTCACAGCATTGCAGGCCTTCATCTTTGTCTCAACATTTCAACCCCGCTCTGGCTTAGTGCAGGACCAGATGCATCTATTCCTTTGTCTACTTAGCAGGAAACAAGTCTGTAGACAGTACCGAAGTTCCATAGGTCACAGCTTTCCTACCTGGAGAGAGTTCCCTTGGATCTAGGGATCCAAGATCCCTAGAACGGCTCTAGTTGACCTAACTCAGCCAATTAGGGTCAGAGGTCCAAGGCACAAAACGACTTCATGAGAGGTATTCCTGGGGGGGCGGGGGGGGGCATGGAGCTATGAAACTGTCAAAACAATGTCCACACCTCTTCAGGTGGCTGTGCGAAATGGCCCCCAGTTTAGTAACTAAGTCCACATGGAGTGCTGGGGGTTGTGCTGCAAAATGAAGAAGACCCATTAATTGTGAGTGGGAGTGCATGAAACATTCTGTCAGTAGGCATTCAGCAATCTGGATTTTATATTTTATCAAGATAAAGTAGAGACGACTAAATAAAAACTGTTAATAACTTACAGAGCTACATGCTTCGGGTTCTTCCCAAAACGCTTTAACGTGGTGAATCTCCTCTAATTATCACAAAACCCTGTGGTCTAAGTATTACTATTCTTAACCATGTTAAAAAAAGGAAATGGAAGCCTAGAAAGGTGCAAGCAGCACACCCAAGGTGGAAAGTTGTTGAGTAGGGATCCAAACCCCTGCACTCTGATTCAAGGTCCTTGGCCACCATGGAGTACCATCTTGTCAAGAAACTCTTTGGGAGAGACTAAGCTATTATTACAAGTTCTGATTTGTATACCATATGACTTCAAAGTCAGGCATCATGAAGACATTCAGTGTGGCACGGGTTTTGGAGTCAGACCTGAGTTGGAATCTCGGCTCTGAGGACCTTAGTGTAACCATGCTCAAGTGGTTTACTCACCTAGTACGTGGGACTAGAACAACGGTATTTTCTTGTCAGGACTAGATATACACACTACTGAGCCCTCAAGACGTCACGCTCCGCCCCATCACCGGGTCAAGTGGACCAGCGGAGCAGGGGGAGACGCGTGGGTTTCCAAGTTCGTCACCAGGGGGCGCGCGAGGCCCTCAGTGGGGAAAGCGTGCACTCGCCCTCCGCGCCTCGTCTCCCGAGAGGCTCAGGTAGCGCATGCGTGTCTTGGTCCTGAGGTTGCGATTGGCTCTCAGGCGTCAGACCCGGTGTGCGCATGCGCTTTCGGCAAAAGGTGGGTGCCAGGGGTAAAATGGCTGCCAAAAGTTTTGCGTCCCGCTTCAGAGGCTCCCGCCGTTTTCTGAATGGCTTCGTGGCAGGAGCGGTAGTGGGCGCCGCGGGAGCCGGGCTCACGGCCTTGCATTTTCTCCGGAGTCAGGGCGCTGAGGCAGCGTTGGCGGTGAGGGAGCCAGAAGGTAAGTCTGTGGGTTCGATCTCCCTTCCGCGACCCAGGTGTCGGGGCCCGACTCCTGCCTCGGGCGTGACTCGAAATCCTCCACGCGCGGCTTTCGCCATTCATCCGGCCCGTGGTTTTCGGCCTTCCTAGTCTCCGGGCTCGGCCTCCTCTACCCCCACGCCGCGCCTAGCTCGCCTCCTTCACCAACTTCCTTCCCCCGGGGGCCTTCTTGGTCTTCTACCCCCAAAGTATCCACGAAATGTATGTTTTAGTGTCTGCCGGTCACTGGATTGTTAGCTCCATGAGTTCGGACCATGTCTGTTTTGCTCCACCCCCCCGTACGCAGCACTGTACCTGGCACATAGTCGGCGTTCAGGAAGCATGGATGGATGGATGAGTGAATGAATGAATGGTTTTAGCAGGTTAGTTAATTGTTCTCATGTTATCATCGTTCTGATGAATGAATACCTGCTAGCTCTTCTTCGAAGTGTATACATCCTCAGGTTGCCGGGAGTACCTTATATTTGACCAAGAAAATGAGCTCATGCTCATTTTCACATTTTCCCTGACATGCTAATTTAATTTGCTGCTTCTGTTACTTGGCATTTAGCAAGGGAACTGCTTACTCTGGTTGGTTGAAAGACTGGGAAAGGCGTCAAGGAAGGGTTGTTTTGAAATCGACTCCCTGTTACATGTGTGCTTGGTTTCTCCCACTAGGAAAAACAGTACCGGGTTTCGCCCTGTCTTGCTGCCGCACACAACCTCTGCTTCAGTATCAGAACAGTGAGGCAGAGTGTCAGTGAATGATGGCCTTTAAAAAAAAAAAATTAGAAAGGCTCTGCTGGTTGTCCCCACACGAACTCATAAAACAATGAGTAGGTAGGCTCTTTCCTAGTCAGTCGTATCAATGACTAGTAGTGACAAGAGTATTACCTGCGCTGCTGTTGTGTTCACAGTACTTTGTGAAGAGAGATTTGAAAATTTGTTGTGAAAGACCAGTAAGATCAGTTCCTTATTTAGAAGTTAATGAGATCGGTTCAGTTTATCTTGATATAACTACACAACTGATAATAAACAAAACCAGTATTTTGTCT